AAAAAATGAAGAAAATTATTTTTCGAACACCGAAATTAGATTATTTTTATCAAAATCAAAAGATAACACGTTGTTAATTGGTACCGTTTTTAACGGGCGCTATGGGGGTGCTAATCCTTCCTTATACATAACCGACTCTTGAACCCAGACTGTTGTACAGACCCTAAAATTATCTTTTTAATAAATTTTAATTAATTTTAAGATTTCATTAAAAAGATATGTTTTAATAGGTGACCAATCACACCTAGCTAAAAAAGATTGGTGGCGACTCTGTTATTTTTTATTTCGTTTCCAAATTCGTCGGACGGACACTAAACCGTTATGATAGCTTGATGACTCCGTTGGAGATATCTTTTGTTTTCGAGAGTGAGGCCAAAATTAACTACTTGTTATCCTCAAATTTTGATTTAAATAGTGTTAATCAATTTCTTAAATTTTTATTCTTCATTTTTAGTAAAAATAAAAAATAAAACAAATCAAAAATAAAAAGCAAAAAAATTCACACACATTTTTTTACTATGCCTCTTATGTTTTATTTTTCTGTATATATTGCTCTCAATAAATTAGGATATATTTGCACACAATAGCACAATGCATCTCATACATAAGCTCTATACCCGGGCTCTGTCCTTTATAAGATGAAGTAAAATACCTATGCTCTCGTGAGGTGATAACCTCCGCAATGGCAAGCGAAATACTTCAACTTGAATTGAACCTTTTCTGTTCATAGCCTGTAATGGGTGAGGATCGGGGTGCCTTACTAGTTCCAACATAGATGACAGTGAAGAACAATTTGGGAACCTTTAGATCCTGTCAATCCCAAACCCAGCATATAATAAGCCTAGGGAACCAGCCTTATGTAGAGCCTTGTCCATCTTCTTGTAAGAAATACCTAAGAATAAAGTTATGTATAATATGAAATAAAACAAAACAAAAAAAAATCTCAAAAACACTAAAAAATAAAAAATGTTTTTTTCAAACCACACTAACTCAATTTTGTTTCATTTTCTTTGCATTAATCATATCATACAGTTTTGTATCGAGATATTTGCTCTAGGACATATTTCTCCTCAGAAGTTTTCATGGATCTCGTAGAACTACAAATTTGCTCATCCTCAGTCAGTGTGCCATGTGAATTGTATAATGAAGTACATGTTTGGTCGAAAGAAGTTCAACAAAAGAATGAAGATTGTTTGCCTACCGGTTATGTGTCTGAATTACCCGATAAAGTGCATTTAGATCTCACACAGAATGATTTAAAAGAGTTAGCTACTGTCTGGGGTCAGTTAAGTGAAGAAAGGAAAGAAAGCTTTTGTAAAAAGCATAGGCAGATTGCATCCTTCATTTCAGTAGTGATTGATGAACAGCTGGTCAAAGCAGAATACAGTTTTGGGATCCATCCTATAGATGCTTCACTTTTAATCAGGAAGATTTGATGCCAACTATCGAAGAGTATTCAATTTTGCTCGGGATAGAACTACGATGTCCAGATAAAATATTTACCCAAAAGCTAAAATTAGGTTATCGTAAAAGTTAGCCAAGCTTATGGGGGTTAAAGTAGAAACCATTGATTCCTTCATGAAATCTAAAGGTGAACATCTCAGCATTCATTGGGATTTTCTTCGAAACTTCATTCAGGAGCATTTAAATGATGATCAAGGTATGGCTGTATTTGCTCTAGCATTGTATGACATGGTAATCTTTCCAAAGACTTTGGGTTACATTGAGATAACTGTAATAGGTTTTTTCGAGCAAATTGAAACTCAAGTAATGAATCTCGCTCTAGCAGTCCTAGCCGAAACCATCAGGTCATTGAATTTCTATCGATGAAATGGAAAAGGACGATTCATGGGATGTGCATCTCTATTATACGTATGGGTTAGAAGTCATTTCAAGTGTGGAAAAAGTGTATTTTCGAAACCATATCTTCGAAATAAAACACCAATCGAAGAGTTTTGTAAAAGCCAATGGTCAACATTGAAGACTAAGAAAGATTGGGTCTTTTTTTTATGAAGGCTTACTGGGGATGAAATCGAGTGGATGGCACTTTCGATGCCTCGCATGCCCTTATTGTATCGTGAAGGAAATGAACTGTGCATACCGTTGTTAGGACTATGAGGTATTGTAAGTTACACTCCATTGATGATACTTAGGCAATTTGGTGCAAAGCAGTTTGTTCCTGCTACTCATGGCTTAGCCTA